AGAGGGTCAGAATACCTTATTGAAGGAGCAGCTGGAAGGCCTTCAGCAAAAGATGCATCAGAAGCTCGTGAGGATGCAGTCCGAGCTACAGGTAATGGATATATTCCGACTAGGTTCTTGCATCAAGAGCAGCATCAGATTGATGAACTACTATCCAACTTAATTCCTATCGACTGTTTTCTGAATTCAGGCTCTTCGAGACGACAAGGCGCATGTGGAAGTGCAGGCGAGGGAGCTCGCAATCACGCAGCAGGAGCATCTCGCGTCTTTCAGTACTGTCTTCCGTAGCCTTTCCTTGATCGGTATGCACCCATCGGTACTGATTTCATGAACTTCCGTTGCACTTTCAAAGAAACGACTGAAGTTGTTGCTTTGCTCTGGTGATTGGTTGCAGAGGAAGAGAAAGAGGCCATCAGGAAGAGGTTTTTCCAAGAGGCAGAGAAGCGGAAGAAGCTACAGAACGACCTGATCGACCTTAAAGGTACTCTGCCCCCCCTGCACTGCACTCGTTCACCTTGCTTTGTGGTACTGTCGTTTGAAGTCATTCAATATCGTACAAAATCGTTCAGTGCGGCCCGTTATTGAAATAATTTCTCCATTGTCGTCCAATTTGTGCAGGAAGCATCCGTGTGTTCTGCCGCGCGAGGCCGCTGTCAGAGGTAGAGGAAAAGTTTGGTGCTCAGCCAGCGGTGCTGCTTGATTCAGATCCTCATGGCAGCCAGATGGTGTCGGTGCGGTCAGCCAAGGACGGACAGAGCAAGGTGTTCGAGTTTGACCGGGTCTTCTCTCCGACCACCAGTCAAGGTAAAAATCTGCGTTCCCGTTTTCTGGCTTCATGATTTTATGGATTGATGGATATTGGAGCGAGAGTCGTGTCTGATGCCGATGTGCGTTTGTATGTACCTTGTCGTGGTTGTGTGTAACAGCTCAAGTGTTCAAGGAGGCGGCTGACGTCATCACGTCGGTTCTTGACGGGTACAACGTGTGCATCTTCGCGTACGGGCAGACGGGAACGGGCAAGACGTACACGATGGAGGGCCCCGCGGAGAACAGGGGCGTGTCGTTCCGTACGCTGCAGGAGCTGTTCCGACTGGCTAAGGAGCGACGTGACAGCATGGAGTACAAGTACGCGAGGAATTTGATGGGGAAGGGGTTAGCAGCGTACATGAATTTTGATTTTGCGAGTGCAATTTTTTGTTTCCTCGTGGAATAGAAGCAATCATTCTGATCGAGCTAATGAGTTCTCTCTGTTTTCGTGTGGTGGCTTCCTTCAATTGCTTTTCTTGGTATGGTCTGTTGGTGGCAGGATCGTGGTGAGTGTGCTGGAGGTCTACAACGACACCATTCGCGACCTCCTCGCTCCAACTGGCGGACACGCTGCAACCAACAGCAAGAAGTAAGAGGGCTTTTTTTCCTCCGTAAATGGGTTGCAAATGCCGTCGCTGAAGAAACTAACCCGCTGCTCTTCTGCTGTGTTTTGTTTGGTCAGGGGTCTGGAGGTGAAGCAGAGGCCAGAGGGTGGAAACTACGTGCCTGGGTTGGTGGAGCAGGAGGTGGGGAGCGTGGAGGAGGCATGGAAGGTGCTCACGTCCGGCTCCAAGGCGCGTGCCACCAGCGCCACCAGCATGAACGAGCACTCCAGCCGATCTCACTGGTGCGTGCCTCTCCACCTGCCAGCCAGCCTCTTTCTGTCTGAGTTTCCTTATCCACTGGTGCGCGAAACATCCCTTGAATGTGGCTAATTGCTGCCTGCTGCTGCCTACTGCTTGTGTCGCTTGCAGCCTCGTCTGTGTGTCCGTGCACGCCCAGCCAGCGGCGTTCCTGCGGTCCAGCAAAGAGAAGGAGGGAGCAGGAGCCTCGGGTGCGAGTGCGAGTGCGGGGACAGTGAGTCGCCTGTGGCTGGTGGACCTGGCGGGCAGCGAGCGCGTGGCCAAGAGCGAGGCGGAGGGCGAGCGGCTTAAGGAGGCGCAGAACATCAACCTGTCGCTCTCATACCTGGGAGAGGTCATCAACGCCCTCGCTAAACGCGCCAGCTTTGTCAACTTCAGGTCAGCTACTGCTCTTTGGAAGCTGTGGTGTGCATTGCCGTTATTTGGAATCTGCCTAAGAGTCAGCTGAGACTTGGGTGTCATGTTCCTGCTGTTGTCCAAGAGTTCGAAAAAATAAAATTGAAAAAGCGCTGACATGATGTTCCTTGATCTGTTTGTGTGGCAGGAACTGCAAGCTGACGATGCTGCTGCAGGACTCACTGGAAGGGAACGCTAAGGTGCTCATGTTCGTGCAGGTCAGCCCGAGTGACAAGGACAGCGTGGAGACCGTGTGCTCGCTGCAGTTCGCCTGCCGGGTGCGCGGGGTGGACTTTGGCTCTAGCAAGAAGCAGACCGACGTTCCCCGACTGAAGCAAGCGGTATGTGCTCTTGGTGTTGCTCTCGTCCAGCTCGAGTTTTCTAGTGTAGCTCGCCTTCTCGGGTTGCTTTGCGTCACCTCCTTGCACATGTGTGAACTTCTTTACTCATCTCCTTGGCTGTGTTTTCCCTGGTGAATTGTCCAACAGCTGGAGAAGGCCAAGACGGACTGCAAGGAGGTGAAGGAGGCGTACCAGAAGCAAAGCGAGGAGCTGGAGGAAGTGAGGCGCAAGACAGCCACAGAGAAGGAGAAGCTTGTCTCGGAGCTGCAGATGCAGGTCAGTAGATTGCCTTTGCCTGTTTAAGAAAAGAAGCTGTACAAACGGATAGTTCTGTTTGACTTTGGAGTCCTGCTGAGCGACTATCCAGTCCAACCATTGCTATTATGTGCAAGTGTTTTTTCTATCTATTGGTGCGCCCAAACAGATCCAGGAGCGCCAGAAGGAATATCAGGACTTAATGGATGCTCTGGAGAAGGAGAAGGCGCGTGCACTGCAACAGGCGCAGCAGCAGCAGCAGCAGCAGCAGATCAAGGCAGGCTCTTCCAAACAGCCTTCAGTCTCGGCAGACTCACTTCAGGTGTCTTCGTTTGGGACACATGCAGAGGAGGAGAAGGCTGAGCACGAGCCCCACTGTGAGGCAAGCCTGGAGCAGACCAGTGATGCAGGGGAAGTCAGTGCTTCTGTTGTCGCTGCTACTGCGTCTTCTGCTTCTGCTGCTGCTGCAGCTGATGATGCCGGTATGGAAGAGGTCTCTGGCCCTCATCCAGAGAAGCTTGCAGAAGCTGCTGCGTCTGAGTCTGCAGTGGCTGATGGGGAGAAGGGTGGGGTGGCCCTGAAGCAGGCTGGTGATAGATCCGCCTCCCAGACTGCAGATGCTGTGAAGGGTGGAGCAGGTGCTGCCACTGGTGCTTCTGAGAAACGGGTCGCTGGGCCAGGCAGAGTCCCGGCTAGGATTCCTGCAGCAACCTCCGCTGCAGCAGGGGCATCTTCTCAGACGGCGATTGTGCCAGTGACAGCTTCTGGGGTTTCCAAGGCCACAGCAAGGCTGCTCGGGAGCAAGATTCCTTCTCGAACTGCGTCTTGCTCTGCGGAAACTGGTGTTTCTGTTGCTGCCGCTTCTGCTGGTGCTGCTGCTGGTGCTGTCTCTGCTGCAGTAGCAGAAGCGGCGGAAGCTGTGCGTGTGGCTCGCAAGAGGACTGGAAGGATGTCCCTGTCTGTGCTTCCAGGAAGCCGCACTGGAGGGGCGTGGGGGGCCGGTGGTAAGGCGGAGAGGAGACGTGAAGCATGGGATGACTATGCTATGCTGGGTTATGCACCCGCTGCCAAGAAGATGATGCTGCGGAGGGCCACTGCGACTGATGCTGTTGGGTTGGAGATTGGAGAAAGGCTGGAGCGGCTAGAGGAACCAGGAGCTGGGATGGATGGCGACCAAAGGACCTCTGGAACGGAGCTGGATGCGGTAGGGGCGGTGAAAACCCGGAAGCCTGGTAGGCCCCCGCTGGCTGGGTTGCGAGTGAACAAGGTGGTGGTTGGGCGCGAGTGGTATGATGAGTGGAGGAGGCAGTCTGCTGATGTGACCAAGGGGATGAAGCGCAATCCGACTGGCAGCGCTGCTGCAGAAGCTGAAGGAGATAAGATGAGTGCGGCGTGTGACGGTGAGGTAGTGGACACGTGTGGTGAGAAGAAGGCTGAGGAGGAGGAGCAGGGAACTCGTCAGCAGCAGCTGGTGCCGCATCAGCCTTACCGCGTGTTCACTGCTGGGACTGCTGCCGCTTCTGCTGCTGCTGGAGGGCACGAGGTTACAGCACCGTTTGCACTCCGCCATGGCATTCCTCCTACTGCATTTGGCAGCACTATCAGGCCACATGCTGTGCGGAAGTCAGGGCTAAGTACACCCATGCCATCAGCAATCCCTTCACTGCACAAGACACTGTCTGGTGGAGCAGGAGGAGGAGCAACAGCAGCACATGATGGCCTTCCTCCCTCTGGTCTGAGGAGGCCTGCTACCCATGGCAGTGGCAGCCTCATTGGCAGTGGGGCGAGGGTTGGAGGAACCACTGCAGCAGCCACTGCAGCAGCTGCAGCAGCGGCATCAGCTGCAGCGATAACAGCTGCACCCGTTCTCACTCTCAAGGGAAGCAGTGCGGTGGGCTCAAGTGGTGTGAAGGCATATGGTGGTGGCGCACAGAGGGTTCGTGCTGCTGGAGGTGCAGCGTCGCAGCGTGGGCGCATCAGTCTGGCTCCTGGGATGAAGTTTTCCCATGATGGCGGTCTGATGACGGCAGGAACGGATAGGAAGGAGAAGTTGGCAGGCGTTGGGGTTGCTCCCAGGGGAGCAGGGATGGAGTTTGTTAAGTAGGTGGTTCCTATAGTTTATATAGTAGGAAGCTAAGTTATAGATTAAGGGGAGCGATTGGGATGGAGGCTTTTGATGAGGTACTAACTAGTTTTATGTTTCTAAGCTGATCACATGGTGTGCGTTTTCATGCTTTTAAGATGATCCTGATTACTTACGATATTCGTCCGATGTTTTCCTCAACTTTCACGTCTGGTACCGCGCGAATCAATAGCGAATCGACTGTCGACAACCTCAATGCTATACCTTGATAACTCCGACCTATCAAATTTCGAACGGGCAGTCCCGCAGCACAGCATCTCTGTTATGGCGGCCAAACTAGCGGCTGCCGCTGTCGCCCTCTCCGCCCGCGCTCGCCACACCCGAACTCCGTGGCTCGGCCTGTGCTCTAGTAACTCCCCTCTCCACCCATTCATCCCTTCCCGCCACTTCGATTCCCCGTCCGTCCCTTCCGCCGCACCTTCTGCGAAGGACTCCAATTCCTCTACACCTGTCAGTCCGCCATCCTTAGATTGGTCGCCGGAGAGACTGCAGCGGCAGGCGCTGCCGCTGAAGGCGGCGCAATTCGCGGGGGCCGGCGGCGGACTGGGCGCGGGGGCAGTAGGGAGACGCGGAGAAGCGGCGGCGGGAAATGCGGTGGCTGTGGAACCAGGAGCGAGCAGGCAGCGGTCGCACGGCGTGCACGTGTTTCAATGCAAGGTGATCGTCATGCATGCAAGGCGCAACGCATGCATGCCTCCGCAGAACGATCGGAAGCCATGGCATCGACGAGCCGCTGCCCAGCTCTGTTGGTGTTTCCTTTGAGACTCAGAAGCACGCCTATTCCCAACAGCTCCGCGGTTTCTCGTCTTTCTGAATCCTTCTCCTGCATCTCTTTCCGCCATTGCTTTCGGGATGTCCCATCATAGGAGGAAAATCGTGCTCTCTAACGCCCTTCACTTGCATGTCTTAACCTGTTGGCATGGCAGGACCGGCTGGGAATAGTGGCGCGCATATCGGAGTGCGTGGCGTCGAGGCACGCGAATCTGCTCAACGTGGATCTGCACATCGACTTTGAGGCGCCCACGCCCATCTTCTACTCCCGCAGGTGCCTTGTAACGCGTATGATAGGCCTGCAGGCAACCTGCAGGTGCTTGTTCAGGTAGGTTGTAATGTTTGTTTGTCGTACACTCCTGCAGGATTCCCTTTCTTTCCTATTCAGTCATCCCCCACCAGTCATCCCTCGCGCTCCTCCCCCACGTCCTACCCCTACATCCCCTACGCTCCCCATTCCCCCACTCCCCCTTCCCTTGTCCCCCATCTCCCCCACTCCCTCAATCCTCCCTGAGCAGTGAGTTCTCGTTTGACCCGGCGAGGTGGCCGCGGCAGCAGATGCAGGAGGACTTTGCAGCGCTGGGCTTGGAGCTGGGCGCGGAGAGGTCCAAGGTGCACGTCATGGCACAGGACAAGCGCCTGCGCATGGCCGTGCTGGTGTCGCAGCAGGTGGGGATGGAAGCGAAGGTGGGAGGGGAGTGGGGGGTAGTGGAGCGGGCGTATGGCCGTGCTCGTGTCGCAGCAGGTGCGGTGGGGGAGGGTGGGGAGGGAGGGGGAAGGGGGGGGGGGTAGTGGGGGAAGGGGTGACGTGAACACTGCAAAAGCCGGAGAGCTGGGCGCGGAGAGGTAGAATCGAAGGTGCACCTCATGGCCTCGGATAAGGTTTGCGGCGCCTCAAAAGTCGGAGACGCACCCGCGCATGGCCGTGCTGGTGTCGCAACAGGTGGGGTGGAAGGTAGAGGGCGGGGGGGGTTGGGGTTGGACGGGGGTTTGGCAGGGGCGGGTGGGTGGGGTAGGAAGGATGATGAAGAACGTGGGAGTGTTGTGTGCGGTGTTTGTGATGTGGATGCTGTGAAGCTCCTCTCAGAAGCCCACCCAATCGTGTGTAACGAAGATGTCGATGCTGATGCTGATGCTGATGCTGATGCTGATGCTGATGCGCTGATGCTGATGCGCTGATGCTGATGCTGATGCGCTGATGCTGATGCGCTGATGCTGATGCTGATGCTGATGCTGATGCGCTGATGCTGATGCTGATGCTGATGCTGATGAGCTGATGCTGATGCTGATGCTGATGCTTATGCTGATGCTGATGCTGATGCTGATGCGCTGATGCTGGTGCTGATGCGCTGATGCTGATGCTGATGCTGATGCTGATGCTGATGCTGATACTTATGCTGATGCTGATGCTGACGCTGATGCACTGGTGCTGATGCGCTGATGCTGATGCTGATGTGCTGATGTTGATGCTGATGCTTATGCGCTGATGCACTGGTGCTGATGCGCTGATGCTGATGCTGATGCTTATGCGCTGATGCTGATGCTGGTGCTGATGCTGATGCGAATGCTGATGCTGATGTGCTGATGCTGATGCTGATGCTAAGGCTGATGCTGATGCTGATGCTGATGCGCTGATGCTGATGCGCTAACGCTGATGCGCTGATGCTGATGCTGATGCTGATGCTGATGCGCTGATGCTGATGCTGATGCTGATGCTGATGCTGATGCGCTGATGCTGATGCTGATGCTGATGAGCTGATGCTGATGCTGATGCTGATGCGCTGATGCTGATGCTGATGCTGATGCTGATGCGCTGATGCTGATGCTGATGCGCTGATGCTGATGCGCTGATGCTGATGCTGATGAGCTGATGCTGATGCGCTGATGCTGATGCTGATGCTGATGCTGATGCGCTGATGCTGATGCTGATGCTGATGCTGATGCGCTGATGCTGATGCTGATGCTGATGCTGATGCTGATGCTGATGCGCTGATGCTGATGCTGATGCTGATGCGCTGATGCTGATGCTGATGCTGATGCGCAGATGCTGATGCTGATGCTGATGCTGATGCGCTGATGCTGATGCTGATGCGCTGATGCTGATGCTGATGCTGATGCGGATGCTGATGCTGATGCTGATGCTGATGCTGATGCTGATGCTGATGAGCTGATGCTGATGCTGATGCTGATGCTTATGCTGATGCTGATGCTGATGCTGATGCGCTGATGCTGGTGCTGATGCGCTGATGCTGATGCTGATGCTGATGCTGATACTAATGCTGATGCTGATGCTGACGCTGATGCACTGGTGCTGATGCGCTGATGCTGATGCTGATGCGCTGATGCTGATGCTGATGCTTATGCGCTGATGCACTGGTGCTGATGCGCTGATGCTGATGCTGATGCTTATGCGCTGATGCTGATGCTGATGCTGATGCGAATGCTGATGCTGATGTGCTGATGCTGATGCTGATGCTGATGCTAAAGCTGATGCTGATGCTGATGCTGATGCGCTGATGCTGATGCGCTAACGCTGATGCGCTGATGCTGATGCTGATGCTGATGCGCTGATGCTGATGCGCTAATGCTGATGTGCTGATGCTGATGCGCTGATGCTGATGCGCTAACGCTGATGCGCTGATGCTGATGCTGATGCTGATGCGCTGATGCTGATGCGCTCATGCTGATGCGCTGATGCTGATGCTGATGCGCTGATGCTGATGCCGATGCTGATGCGGATGCTGATGCTGATGCTGATGCTGATGCGCTGATGCTGATGCTGATGCTGATGCTAAAGCTGATGCTGATGCGCTGATGCTGATGCGCTAATGCTGATGCGCTGATGCTGATGCTGATGCTGATGCGCTGATGCTGATGCTGATGCGCTGATGCTGATGCTGATGCTGATGCGGATGCTGATGCTGATGCTGATGCTGATGCTGATGCGCTGATGCTGATGCTAATACTGATGCGGATGCTGATGCTGATGCTGATGCGCTGATGCTGATGCTGATGCTGATGCGCTGATGCGGATGCTGATGCTGATGCTGATGCTGATGCGCTGATGCTGATGCTGATGCTGATGCGCTGATGCTGATGCTGATGCTGATGCTGATGCGCTGATGCTGATGCTGATGCTGATGCTGATGCTGATGCGCTCATGCTGATGCTGATGCTGATGCTGATGCTGATGCGCTGATGCTGATGCTGATGCTGATGCTGATGCTGATGCGCTGATGCTGATGCTGATGCTGATGCTGATGCTGATGCGCTGATGCTGATGCTGATGCGCTGATGCTGATGCGCTGATGCTGATGCTGATGAGCTGATGCTGATGCGCTGATGCTGATGCTGATGCTGATGCTGATGCGCTGATGCTGATGCTGATGCTGATGCTGATGCGCTGATGCTGATGCTGATGCTGATGCTGATGCTGATGCGCTGATGCTGATGCTGATGCTGATGCGCTGATGCTGATGCTGATGCTGATGCGCTGATGCTGATGCTGATGCTGATGCTGATGCTGATGCTGATGCGCTGATGCTGATGCTGATGCGCTGATGCTGATGCTGATGCGGATGCTGATGCTGATGCTGATGCTGATGCTGATGAGCTGATGCTGATGCTGATGCTGATGCTGATGCGCTGATGCTGGTGCTGATTTGCTGATGCTGATGCTGATGCTGATGCTGATACTAATGCTGATGCTGATGCTGACGCTGATGCACTGGTGCTGATGCGCTGATGCTGATGCTGATGCGCTGATGCTGATGCTGATGCTTATGCGCTGATGCACTGGTGCTGATGCGCTGATGCTGATGCTGATGCTTATGCGCTGATGCTGATGCTGATGCTGATGCTGATGCGAATGCTGATGCTGATGTGCTGATGCTGATGCTGATGCTGATGCTAAAGCTGATGCTGATGCTGATGCTGATGCGCTGATGCTGATGCGCTAACGCTGATGCGCTGATGCTGATGCTGATGCTGATGCGCTGATGCTGATGCGCTAATGCTGATGTGCTGATGCTGATGCGCTGATGCTGATGCGCTAACGCTGATGCGCTGATGCTGATGCTGATGCGCTGATGCTGATGCGCTAATGCTGATGCGCTGATGCTGATGCTGATGCGCTGATGCTGATGCCGATGCTGATGCGGATGCTGATGCTGATGCTGATGCTGATGCGCTGATGCTGATGCTGATGCTGATGCTGATGCTGATGCTGATGCTAAAGCTGATGCTGATGCGCTGATGCTGATGCGCTAATGCTGATGCGCTGATGCTGATGCTGATGCTGATGCTGATGCGCTGATGCTGATGCGCTGATGCTGATGCTGATGCTGATGCGGATGCTGATGCTGATGCTGATGCGCTGATGCTGATGCTGATGCTGATGCGGATGCTGATGCTGATGCTGATGCGCTGATGCTGATGCTGATGCTGATGCGCTGATGCTGATGCTGATGCTGATGCTGATGCTGATGCTGATGCGCTGATGCTGATGCTGATGCTGATGCTGATGCTGATGCTGATGCGCTCATGCTGATGCTGATGCTGATGCTGATGCTGATGCGCTGATGCTGATGCTGATGCTGATGCTGATGGTGATGCTGATGCGCTGATACTGATGCTAATACTGATGCGGATGCTGATGCTGATGCTGATGCGCTGATGCTGATGCTGATGCTGATGCTGATGCTGATGCGCTGATGCTGATGCTGATGCTGATACTGATGCTGATGCGCTGATGCTGATGCTGATGCTGATGCTGATGCGCTGATGCTGATGCTGATGCGCTGATGCTGATGCTGATGCGGATGCTGATGCTGATGCTGATGCTGATGCTGATGCTGATGCGCTGATGCTGATGCTAATACTGATGCGGATGCTGATGCTGATGCTGATGCGCTGATGCTGATGCTGATGCTGATGCGCTGATGCGGATGCTGATGCTGATGCTGATGCGCTGATGCTGATGCTGATGCTGATGCTGATGCTGATGCTGATGCTGATGCGCTGATGCTGATGCTAATACTGATGCGGATGCTGATGCTGATGCTGATGCGCTGATGCTGATGCTGATGCTGATGCTGATGCGCTGATGCTGATGCTGATGCTGATACTGATGCTGATGCGCTGATGCTGATGCTGATGCTGATGCGCTGATGCTGATGCTGATGCTGATGCTGATGCTGATGCTGATGCTGATGCGCTGATGCTGATGCTGATGCGCTGATGCTGATGCTGATGCTGATGCTGATGCTGATGCTGATGCTGATGCGCTGATGCTGATGCTGATGCTGATACTGATGCTGATGCGCTGATGCTGATGCTGATGCTGATGCTGATGCGCTGATGCTGATGCTGATGCGCTGATGCTGATGCTGATGCTGATGCGGATGCTGATGCTGATGCTGATGCTGATGCTGATGCTGATGCTGATGCGCTGATGCTGATGCTAATACTGATGCGGATGCTGATGCTGATGCTGATGCGCTGATGCTGATGCTGATGCTGATGCGCTGATGCGGATGCTGATGCTGATGCTGATGCGCTGATGCTGATGCTGATGCTGATGCTGATGCTGATGCTGATGCTGATGCTGATGCGCTGATGCTGATGCTAATACTGATGCGGATGCTGATGCTGATGCTGATGCGCTGATG